AAAAAACATACACCGGAAAGCAATATGAGATTTTGCAGCTTATTTTTCACTTAAAACCAAAAATAAGTGGTATGAAAGCATTATAGCTCTTTATTTCAAATTCATAATATTTAATTGAGCAGACATAAATAGAAATTATGCTTTTATAATTTTTGTCCTATATACACACAAGCGAAATAAATAATCATCTGTCAGTAAAAAAAAAGAAAAATGCAATGACTACACAAAAGAAAGCTCTAGTTTCATGACCCTTGTTGTCATAATGTCCTGTAGGAATGAGATATGGTCAAGTACCCTTTTTAGTATGCCTAAAAAGCATTTGACAGATTAGACTACTCGTTTTGCTAAGACATAGTAGATGACATAAAACACAACTGAAGAGGTTTTAGATGTCATCCACGCATGTTTCAGTAATTTAGCAATCTCTCCCAGGCTCTATTCAGACCCTCGTTGTGGTTAGCTGTAAGATTCTGTCCACAACCCTCTGTCACCCACGCTCCCACACGACAATACTCCATAAATATACAAAAACATGATACAAAACTGTACACAACAACTTAACAAACCTTAAAATCTTGACACAGACGAAATAGGGCCTATCCACTCCCACTTACTTTCATTTCAGTTCAATAAAAACAAATATCTTCTTTTCACTATTTAACATGGGAGGGAATATGCTGGATGTTTTAATGTCTGGAGTCGTCTGTATCCACTGCTGCAGTCTTCTTCTTCACTTCAGAATAAACTGCTTCATCTGCAGAAATATTCTCTGATTCTGTTGTTGAAAGACATTCATTTGTTTTAAGTTAAAAACAATGTGTATTTAGTTATGAGGAAAACTCCACAATAACATTACCTTTAATTTTGGGTTTTCTTTTTCTTTGGATGTTTACTTGAGAATATACCACGTCGTCTGCAGGGAGAACAAACACCTCATGACAATGCACAGACAATTTGAATACTTACTCAGAACACAAGGAATGAATGTAAAATGTGTTATTAACAGAGGAAATTTTACACAAGTAAGAGTAACATCACTTCAAAATAATATTACTCAAGTCAAAGTACAAAGTGGTGCAAGAAATTAATCAAAAGTAAGTAAGTATTTGGGAAAACTACTCCTCAGGTAACAGTAATTTAAAGAGTAACTGTTGGGACGAGCTCCTCCTGTGTGACTGAGCTCCTCTCCCTCTCCTCCTCGTGGAGAAAACTCATTTTGGCCACTCGTATTCGCGATCTCGTCCTTTCGGTCATGACCATAGGTGAGGGGAGAAACAAAGACTGACCGGTAAATCCGCATCACTGCAGATGCTGCCTGTCAATCTCACGCTCCGTCCTCCCCTCACTTGTGAACAAGACCCCGAGATACTTGAACTCCTCCACTTGAGGTAAGGACTCTCCACCCACCCGGAGAGGGCAAGACATCTTTTTCCGATCGAGGTTAGACTGCTACTACTTTTTTTTTTTTTTTTGTGTAGTTTTTCTTTTAAACACAAACCTGCCACTGTCATGTGCACTTTAAAAACAACATTCAGAATTGTGATAGAGGAATTGTACATCACTGACCTTTCAGAGCACTTATCTGAAAAAAGACAAATAAAGTCACATATTACATCTTTAAATAATATAATGTATATCAAAATGAAAGGACTTATTACTCATACCTTTCTTGTTTCTGTAACACCATAGAAGCAGCAGCAGGATTAAAATTAAAATAAACACAAGAGCTACAACCAGCACGATCACAAGAACTGGAGCGCTCCCCTTCACTGACACTGACAAAAATATTGAACATTTATCAATCAACAATTATTTTATACAATACATTTATACACATTTTATCTACATTTTACTCACATGTGACAGACAGCCAACTCTCTGGAGAAGACTGGAGTTTTTTTGCAGAGTCATGAAGCTCACATTTGTATGAACCTTGATCAGACCTGGACACTGCAGAGATGTTGTATTGTCTGGAACTTCCTTTTTGGATTAATTGTCCATCTTTATAGAAATGGACAGAGGAGAAAGCAGCAGACTGTCCCAGTTTACAGGTGAGAGAGACGTCATGTCCCTCAGGCACAGGGAGCGCCGGGATCAACAGGATCACAGCATCTGTCGAGAACAAATCAAATCAAGCACAAATTCAATAGAAAGATCAATCAATACTATCAAGAACAAAGATTCAGTCTCTCTTAAAGTCTTAGTCCACTGAAATTCTGACCAAGACCAGTGGTGTGTGTGCTACACAGCTATAATCTATGACACCTCTGGATCATTATGTAAGAACTTTAACATTTAAAATTTAAAACGACTTAATGAAAGAAACAAGTCTGCTGACTTCCAGGTTGGAAAATTGCACAGTTCCTCCTATGGAGAGCTACAGAACACGCTGACAGCAGCATTTATTTTTTCATTTGTGCTAAAATGGCTACACAATGATTCTGAATTCACGTGTATCACAGATTAAGAGAATAAAACCAAGATACAAAGTACAGAGCAGTGGGAGTGTACCAGCTGAACTGAAAACAGGGATAGATTGGAGATATGGCAGGAAAATTAAGATTACTCTAAATATGAATCCACATACAATTTTGGGAGGGTTAATTATAAGGGGAAAAAAATATACAACGGTTAAAAGTTCTATAAATTTGTTTTTGCCTAATAGGTCTTTCTTTAAAATTCCTTGCATAACCTCTAAACACTTTTGTGACCAAGTTTCCATAAGACTTTTTTAAATTTATCAACTGGAGACTGCACTAAATGTGTGATTCATCCCTGATCCTGCAGCATAGAGCTACAAGTAAATACTACAACCTGTCAGTACTGGTGTAGATCATCAACACACTCAATCTCAAATGACTAACAACACAAGCTTTGGTTATAATTGTCAACTGTTGCTCAGTACAACAGACTTCTGCAGGTGTAGACCTACCATGAACAGTGATGTTGACTGCATCAGACATTTGTCCAGACCCAGACTCACACCAGAACACTGCTCTGGTCTCCTGAGGTGCAGAAAATTCACATGTGTGTTTGTGTTCTGTTGTGTGGGAGTGACACTGCTGTAAGGACAGTGTGGTCAGGGAAAACATCTGGACTGTCCACTCTTCATCTGTTGAGTCGGGCCCACAGCTCACTGACACTGAGTCCATGATGAAGTGTTGTGAGCTGTTAGGAACAACATCTGGAGCCACTCTGGAACCACCATCTAACAGAACATGACCATCTTAAATGATTGAGTAAAGTCTAAAATAATCCAGAAGAATCTGAGACAGAAGTGCTACCTGCAGACCAGACAAAGCGCGGTGGACTGTATTCAGTGTAGAAGTGTCTCCCTCGTGCAGCTCGACACACAAAGCCTCTTGTGCTGCTCAGACCATGAACACTGAAGGAGGCATGTGCAGTCCCTGAGGTGTCACCAGTGAGCAGTTCATATGAGTACAGGCCTGATGGAAGAGGAACAGCCCGGTACCAGTAAAACCTCCATCCTGCAGAGGGTCCCAACAACACACCCCACACACACAAAACACATTTAATGATTTTTTTTATTTCGGTAATTCCACTCATTGCCGGAAACCCCACAAAAAACGTGCGCAGTAAGAGCGATGTAAACGTCATGTTAACGTTGGCGGCGTCAGTCGCACAATGGACGAGGTCGAAGAGCCAGTAGAACAGAGTCAGCAGCGCACAGGTAAAAACACATTCGTGTCTTGGAAATTATTCTCCAAGAATTTAAAAGAAATTAACAAATATAATATCGCCTGAAAACAACCTGCATAGGCTCATGATGTCTGCACTACTGTCCTATAGTGACCTGCCACATGAGGGGACACGCACACAAACACACACAAACACACACACACACACACACACACAAACACACACCTTCATCATCGTCATTAACCTGAGAACGCGCGGACCACGTTTCCTTCCGTAGTTACTGCGCGGACACCGACGTGCTCCCGTGAGCCGCGTGTGGATCGTGTTTTCTCGCGTACACGGCGTAAACCGCGCTTCCTCCTGTGCGCCTCTAAACCAGAACTAACACCAAGACTAAAACCAGGACAAATCCAGTCCAGGACTAAACCAGGACTAAACCAGGTCTAAACCAGGACTAAACCAGAACTAAAACCAGAACTAAAAACCAGGTCTAAACCAGGACTAAACCAGGACTAAACCAGGACTAAACCAGGTCTAAACCAGGACTAAACCAGGTCTAAACCAGGACTAAAACCACAACTAACACCAGGACTAAAACCAGGATTAATCTATTCCAGGACTAAACTAGGACTAAAGCAGGTCTAAAACCAGGTCTAAACCAGGACTAAAACCAGTGATGTCATATATAAAGCATTTCTCTATCAATAATATTTTTAATATGGTTAAGGAAAGACTGGACTTTTTATTGTCTTTAAGTAGATAAAAGTTATTATGTTCAGATTTCCTCGTCTTTACTACTTTACAACAAACAGTTTCTTATTCATGGAGACTTGGGCTCAACAGCCAATTTGGAGAGATTTGTTAAACAATAAATGACTTTATAAAGTCACTTTTTTAAATCTATATTAGTCTTTTGATCTGCCACAATAATGTAATAATGAATTTAAATGAAAATACCTCAAATTGAAGGCTTTTCTCAGCAATTTTTAGGTGAGATTAAAATGAGATTAATTAGATTAATTAATTACAGATCATAATTAATTAATCTCTAAAATTTTTTAATCGCATGACAGCACTAATATATATATATATATATATATATATATATATATATATATATATATATATATATATATATATATATATATATATATATATATATATATATATATATATATATATATATATATATATATATATATATATATATATATATATATATATATATATATATATATATATTGAGTCACCCTTAAAACACACAGACATTGTAGCATAGGCTACCACTCGGGGTATTTAAAACTTAAAGAACGACTGAATGTTCAGAATGCAATAACATCTAACATGAAGGCAAGAAGGTTAAAAAAATAGCCTAGTCGGAAAACGTTGTCAATTAATTAGCTGAGCAAGAAAACCAGGCAAGTTTGGGGTTGTTACGGACAATTAACAATGTGAACAGGCACGTTGAGCGAAGTTTGGAATGAATGAGCTGTAGAGTTAGCATTTTTATCGAGGCTCCTTAGTTTGTTTGTTATATGATTGTTCTAAAATCTAAAATCAATAAGCGGATGGCGGGCGAGTGCGGAAAAATGGTCAAAACCTTGTGTGCAAATGGATAGTTGGATGATGAGTTTTGTGTCGCGGTTGCGGATGAAAAAATAGCCGATCTGTACATCTCTAATTTATATATAGCGCTTTTCCACCTGGGCTCTTAAGTGCTTTACATCATGAACCACTCACCTATTCATACATGCACTCACACACACACACACACACACTAGGAGCAAGGTGGGTTAAGTGTCTTGCCCAAGGATACAAAGACAGCAATCATCTGTGGGAACTGGAATCACAGTGCCAACCTGCGGGTTAGTGGGTCTGAAAGCTCAAGCAATGATGTGTTTTTATGTTGAGAGCAGGATTCGAATCGACAAAGTTCAGGTAAGAGGACAAATGCTCTACCAACTGAGCTTCTGTTGAAAATGCTCTGTTTACTGGAAAAATATGCTTATAACATGTAACAATAAGTTTTACTTTTGTTTTCTGAGTCTCTGGGTTCCCCCTCCCATTGCATGGACAGCAATGTTTAAATGAGCTCACATTATCCACAGAACACTGCAGCCACATTTACACAACCAGACAATTTAAATAATTATGAGATATTACAATAAGATCATTATTTTTGTGTGTGTGTTTACATGCCAAAAAGAAATATATCTTCAAAAACTCCTGATGACATGTGCCAGTTCATTTGTGGAGTCACTGACATAAGTGTTGTGTTTTAAAGTCAGTGTATAATACATTTTAAAATAAGTCTTCATGTAAACATAGCCACAGTCATATTGGACTCACCGGTCACCTGCAGCTTGGTCACCTGGCTCCACTGTGTTTGCTCATATGCTCCTCTGGTCCCTCTGCAGCTGTAGTCTCCACTGTCAGACTCAGACACATTGGAGAGGACATATTCTCTGGCTGTTGTAGGTAACATAACTCCTGTCCTCTTCCATTCATAAGTCCACTCTGTGTTTCCTTCATCCTCCACCTCACACCTGAGAGACAGACTCTCTCCAACAAACACCTCTGTCCAGTCAGGCTCAGGCTGCACCACTGCTCTGTTTGACACTGTAAAGAACGACAACTGTATGTTTCATCATCAAACTGGAGCTATTATTAACACATGAAAAAGAAGGCAGAGGTCAAAGGTCAAAAGTGTATTTTGTAATCTGTTGTAGTCGTGTCTTTGAAGGCTTTTTAGTCATGAGGCCTCGTGGAGCATCACTTAATTACAGTATTTAAAAGGAAGAATTATTTGGAGAACATATTGTTGGTGCTGAGATATACAGTGTAGGAATAATGCACTCACCAGTTTCCCAAATGGTGACAAAGTCACTTTCAGGTGTGAGAATCAGCTCTTCTTTTCCTCTGCAGGAGTACACACCTCCACGATGTACAGAGATAGTGGCTGTATCTTCACTTAAGATCTCAAAGTGAGAAGTATGAGCAGAAGTTCGTCTCATCCATTGATATTTCCCAATCTCGTTTATCTGATAGCTCAGCCTCACCCCACCACGCTCTGGGATGAAGAACCTGTCTGTGCTCAGATTAATACTTCTACCTGTAGAATGAAAATAAATAGACAAGATTTGTTTTAAAAGTTAAGTGAGTATTTCACACTTTGTTGGTTCATCATCAAAATATTATTGAAAGATTCTTGTCACTACAGACTTGTGTATATTGGAAGTCTTTGCCCTGTGTACAGTGTTTCTCCATCGATCCCACAGGAGTACAAGCCCTGGTCTGATTCTGAGACTGAGAGGATTATCATCTCCACTGTTGTTTCAGATGTCCGTTTAAACTGATGGTTTGTGTCTGGTTTCACTATGATTCTATCTTTGTAGAAGTGCAGGTGTTTGTTGGAGGGTCCCACACACCGCAGAGTCACTGTGTCTCTGATCCTGACATATAAAGATCTGCAGAGGTCGACCTGCAAATCCATTCAAATGTGTCCAGTTACTAATAAGTCTTTAGTAAATAAGTAAATAAGTCTTTATTTATATAGGGCATTTCACAGACATTTTTTGTCACAAAGACACTTTACAGAGCATTACATTCAGCACTATTCATTCGCTCTATACCTAGTGATGGTAAGCTACTATTGTAGCCACAGCTGCCATTGGGCAAACTGACAGAAGCGTGGCTGCCATGCCAATCGGCGCCAACGGTCCCTCCAATGACCACCATCACTCACGCACACACCACTTTCATACTAGGCAATGTGGGTGAAGTGTCTAGGCACTAACACCAGTCCTAATTTCCACCTGTCGTCCCTGGGCAGGTTCATTGATTGTATTTAACTGACCTTGACTATCAACTGTTAGTTTAGTTACTGTGATTATATCTGCCATGTCTCACTGTTCATCTCCCTGTACACCTTCTGGTACAGTAACCAGAAATTTGACTCAATTAAGAGCAACATTTCTTCAGAAAAAGGTTTAGTTAAATAAAGATTTTTTTTTTTTTTTACTTTATTAAAGCCCTTGATAAATAGTCAAAAAAAAAATATTTTTTACATTTCAAACCACATAAAAAGAGAAATAGTGTCAATGAAAACAGAGCATGTATATTGTATTTAACACTCTTAATTTTCTCTAAATAAGAGATTACAGATGACCACTTCCTCATGTCTCTCTCTGTCTCCAGTTTTACAATTGAGGTCATTTCCTCCATTCAGTTGACAGATTTCAGCCTTTAAGTCCGTTGTTTCAGTGTTGAGGGATTCGGTTTGAGACAGTTGGTGGTGATTTGTGCAATTAACACAAGGACTCTTAACATATACAGTGTATTTTTGTTCCAAACATCTGAAGTGGCACCACACAGTACTACCTGTGTCTAGAAACTTCTTTGTTTCTTTTATCACCTCATCCAATACACTGTTACCACTGGACACTTCCAAAAAATGTAAGAAAAGTCACCCATTTGTCCAAACTTTCATTAGCAGAGGGAACTGATATTGTCATTATAACTGGCAAAAATAACTGGCATCTCATTCTCTCATTCTCATGCTACTCTTCCCATGAATTTTCACAACCTGAATCATCAGTTACAATTCCCATTTATTCTTCATGTCTAATGTCCTTTCATCTTGTTTAGTACATATGTTTTTGTATAAAACTGATATTATCTTCCTTCTACTGGGTGAGATTTTATTTGATCAAATTCTTTATGTTTCTCAAGATAGTGGTGTATTTGAAATTTTCAAACTCTTTCCTAACTTTTCCCCATACATCTTAAGTAACTATAACCCATTTATTCTGTATTTTAAAAATGTTTCCATTGTTGTGTGCCCATAGATAAAAGTGCTCATATATCCACCACTGAATATTGCTCCAACCAGTGTTGTGCAAGTTCACACTTTTCATGAACTAGTTCAAAGTTCAGTTCACACTTGTTCAAAGTGAATAGTTCACGTTCATAGTTCACAATTTTAATTTCGAACTAGTTCAAAGTTCAGTTCATTTTATTTTTAGGTGAGATCTGTAAATGAAAAGCTGCTTTTATTTTTCAAACTGACCTCTAGTTTACAACAACTTTACAAGATACACTGTTGGCCAAGTTACTTTAAAACTGTAATGTGTTATTTATGACTTGTTACTGTCATTTCAAAGTCATTTGTTACATTACAATATTACTGCATTTAAAATGTAAAACATTACACGACTATTTCAGCACTTTTAATTTACTCTCACCAAAAGAACTGTTAAGATGCTGAACTTTTGCACCGTATATGGACTAAACCAGGACTGAACCAGGACTAAACCAGGTCTAAACCAGGTCTATACCAGAACTGAACCAGGACTAAACCAGAACTGAACCAGGATTAAACCAGAACTGAACCAGGTCTAAACCAGGACTAAACCAGGTCTAAATCAGGACTGAACCAGGACTAAACCAGGAATAAACCAAGACTAAACCAGGACTGAACCAGGACTGAACCAGGACTAAACCAGAACTGAACCAGGACTAAACCAGGACTAAACCAGAACTGAACCAGGACTAAACCAGGACTAAACCAGAATTGAACCAGGACTAAACCAGGACTGAACCAGGACCAAACCAGGACTAAACCTGGACTAGAACTTGGAATCTAGGACCGCCCCTGAGAGAACCCCGAGTGCGATCGGGCGTCAGCTGCGTTTATCTCGGTGGAGCGCGGACTTCTGCGTCGGTCCTTTCGCTCAGGATCACGGTCTACGCGGGCGTACCTCCGGCGTTTCACCGCTGCTGATATCGCGGTGATTTTAGCAAATTTGTATGAAGAAAAACGAAAAACCCACCATTTCAATCCAGGTTAAAAAAGCATTGTTACTGACATTTGTACCAAGTAAAATAATACGCGCGCGGAGCAGCACGTCCTGTGCATGTAGATTTCAGAAAATAGGATCCATCCTATTTTTTGACGCTCTACACGAGCGTAGGCGCGTATCCCCGTCAAAATCCACAGAGAACATGTATCTATTGTTGTATTTGTGCATTTACCATCAACACATTGTGCTCCCTGGGCAGTTGTGTATCATGTGAAAGAGCCCAGATCCACATACACTGTTAATTAGTGCTTTGAAATTACTTTTGAAATCCTTGCGTTTGCCGTGGTCAGCCTGTACAGAAGGTAAATACAAGCAGCTAAACGCGCCCAGTCAAGTTTGATTGACTTTCCCATTGAGAGACACAAGAGCCCGTATGTTCCGCTAAAGCTGCCGGTGGAGTCGCCTTCGCGTTGACACGCGGCTGTGGTTTCGCGAGCTGAAGTGCGAGCAGATCGTCACTCGTCAAATTCCGACGTTTAACTGAACCCCAACAGTGACGTACGTCGTTCATCACACATCATTTGAACAAATTCACGTTCAAGTTCTTGATTTACAAAAGTGTTGCGTTCAGTTCAAAGTTCACTGAAAAATGAACGTGTTCAATGAACGCGTTCTTTTGAACTCGTTCATGCACAACATTGGCTCCAACTATGATCATTTTGTATCAGTGTTGCATTTCATGTTTTATTACAGTTTGTTTGAAACATGCTCTTTTACACAACACTCGCTCTACACCAGCCGAAGCTTCAACGACTGAATTAAAACATGAGTAAAAAAGGAGAAAATGTAGTTACCTTGGGTTGTTTCCCAGAGGACAGCGATGAGATCTGAAATGAGAATAGTAAAGAGTGGACAAAGGCCTGACTCTGGACTTGTATTAAAGTGAATGTACTCACAGGAGCAGAGCAGAGACCAGACCCGAGGAGAGCCCATCCTTAAACCACCACTGATCTGCACAAAGACAAACTCTTACCTACACTCAAGAGAGGAAGTCACAACTTTTATATTCAGAACTATTACTTTGCATGTCCTTCCTTTTCACACTTACGGTACACTTCACTCACTTAATTTTTTTGTTTTTAAACTTCAACATGAAGGCTGTAGTGACATTATAGTGCAATAAGGTCCACATTTTTCAGACACATTAAAACGAATACAATTGTTTAACCTTTCATAACTACACTAACCAGGCCATATATATTTGAGTGTGAAAAAAACTCCAGTTGTTGTGATTGTCCATTTAACCAGTGGTTTACTGAGTTGAGCAGCTTTGTGGTTTGGGTGGAAACAAGATGAAGTGTGCAGAGGAAAGTGCTTTGTTCATTTGAGGACAACTTTTACTCAACTGGATTTAACAAAAGTTTGATTTCTCATCTTGTTACGCTGTTATGGCGCTTCAACCAATCAGCTTTAAATTTTCATCTGGACATTCCACCTTTTCCACTTTCATAAAGAGCCTTTCCAGACTGATGTAGAACTCCAGAGTGCTACACATACTGTATCAGTTTGCTGTTATAAATATACTGTGGCAGTTGATGAACTTCTGCCTTTTTGATACTGAATGTTCCAGTGTTAACAATGATAGGACCTGACAAGTTTGCTTGTTTGATAAGTTTGCTGATAAGTTTGATGGGGAATGAGGATGAATGGGAAGCAGGGACCACAAGAAAAGAAATCCAGCAGGTGGTGGTAATGTTCTTACATGTGTTATTCAGAGGCACGGGAACATGCACAGAAACATGCAGAAGAACAAACACAGAAACATGCAGAGGAACATGCACAGGAATAAACACTGGAACAGGAGCTAACATGGGATCATGCACAGGAAAAAACACAAGAATGCAATATGAGATTTTGCAGCTTATTTTTCACTTTACAATTGTTTCAAAACCAAAAATAAGTGTTATGAAAGCAATATAGCTCTTTATTTCAAATTCATAACATTTAATTGAGCAGATATAAACAGAAATGATGCTTTTGTACTTTTTGTCCTATATACACAAGAGAAAAATAAATAATCATCTGTCAGTAAAAAAAGGAATGAGATATGGTCAAATGTAACCAGTAGAGTAAATGTGCAATTTTATTTAAATACACTCATTTTATTTTGAAAAAACGTTTATTTTGGTAAGAGGAAGTGTGATCTCTCGCTCTCTCTTGACTTCCTGTTTGTCATCACGTTGGGTGATAATGACCTTCTTATTTGTTGAGAAAATTAAGACCCGCCTTCTCAAGACGCGATTCAGAGTTACGTTAGTTCTTCGTTCTTTTACGCTCTGACGCAGATGCGAGAGGCTGTGTGTGAGACCACTTTGTTTTTGCTAAGCTAAATGATTATTTCGGTGAGTGTATGTAATAGAATTTGATGTAAATATGGTACGAGATTTTAAATGCTAACAGGGAAATGTTTATATGCTATTTTAATTGAATCCATGTGTGAACCTGAAGGGCTGTGACGGGGTGTCTGTCCCATGTTCATGCTAACACATCATCTTGGTGAGTCTACACGTGTACCGATCTATATGGTGAAAAATATGCAGCGCGATGCTAATGCGATGCTAACGCTAATCGCGAGTGGTAAACTACTAACTTGAAATCAATGTAAAAACAATCTGTACTTGTTTTATTGTAATCTAAAGTGATATTTCAGATGACAACAAAGGTCACTACATTTATTTAATTTCACCCTGTTTTATGGTGAAATGTAACACTAATTTTGGTGTTTTTATGTAAAAGAAAGTAATTCAATGTTACCAGCAAGGTACAGATTCAGTGGAAGTATAGATACTATTATCTGTTTGATAATTAATGTTTTTCATTTATAAAAGCTTAATAAGGTAAAGGTAATAATTAATTGGATAATATTAATAAAAGTGTCATGGTTATATGTTCAAAAGATTAAAAGAACTTCATTTATTGTTATTAATGGGTTATTCATGAGCAATGATATTTGAATTAACAGAAATGAACTATGTATGTTCTGAATAACTATGGAGTTAATTATTTGATATTTTGAGTAAAAAACAAAAACAAAGCTATAGCTACTTGATAGTGAGAATAAATTAATGGAACTGGATTTCAAATAGCCGTATACTATAATACTGTTATTGTTGTACAGGCTGGTTTTTTGTGTGTGTGACGATTAAGAAGACAAAGACAAGACTTGGATTCTTCTTTGGACGGCGAGCCTTCCCAAACTGAGAACTGAGAGCAACCTTCTTCTCTGCTCTTCTTATAGAACTCATCACGTGGTAACCACTCAAAACTACCACAGCGAGGATCCTGTTGGAATTGATTTGACTATACTGACTGAATATACTGAGCTCAGTAGGACTAAGGGTGAATTATGGTGCACAACTGAATGTAAACATAGATTGCCCTGTTCATTTGTAACAATTTATAATTTTATTTTTATTTATTTTCTATCCAATACAAATCAAGCTTGCTCAATCTCTTCTCCAGCCATCTCATTTACTCTCGCATTATTCCTATTGTAGTCCAGAACTGTGCCTGGAAAACTATAGATTACTTTATTATATATTCTCGTCAGGGGTTACACAAACATCAATACACTTTTTAGTATGCCTAAAAAACATTTGACAGATTAGACTCGTTTCACTAAGACATAGTAGATGACATAACAAAAGGTAACGTACTGTACACAGATGTAATTCCATAATTTAGCAGCCACACTGTACACAAAAATTAATGACAACACTACAATAGTAGATTATCACCACTGGGTATGGAGTGAATAAATAATGTACAAAATGTTAAAGAGACTCTGAACAACTGGATAAACACTATAAAACTAATGCATTATTATTATTACTATGCAAATTCTCTCAATTTTCTTGACTTTTCTACATGTAACATTGTTCCCTCATCAAAAACACAACTGAAGAGGTTTTAGATGTCATCCATGCATGTTTCAGTAATTTAGCGATCTCTCCCGGGCTCTATTCAGACCCTTGTTACAGTTAGCTGTAAGATTCTGTCCACAACCCTCTGTCACCCACACCCACACGACAATACTCCATAAATATACAAAACAAAAACTGTACACAACAACTTAACAAACCTTACAAACCTTGACACAGATGAAATAGGGCCTATCCACTCCCACTTTCATTACAGTTCAATAAAAACAAATATCTTCTTTACACTATTTAACATGGGAGAGAATGTGCTGGATGTTTTAATGTCTGGAGCCGTCTGTATCCACTGCTGCAGTCTTCTTCTTCACTTCAGAATAAACTGCTTCATCTGCAGAAATATTCTCTGATTCTGTTGTTGAAAGACATTCATTTGTTTTAAGTTAAAAACAATGTGTATTTAGTTATGAGGAAAACTCCACACTAACATTACCTTTAATTTTGGGTTTTCTTTTTCTTTGGATGTTTACTTGAGAATATACCACGTCGTCTGCAGGGAGAACAAACACCTCATGACAATGCACAGACAATTTGAATACTTACTCAGAACACTAGGAATGAATGTAAAATGTGTTTTTAACAGAGGAAATTTTACACAAGTAAGAGTAACATCACTTCAAAATAATATTACTCAAGTCAAAGTACAAACTGGTGCAAGAAATTAATCAAGTAAAAGTAAGTAAGTATTTGGGAAAACTACTCTTCAGGTAACAGTAACTTAAAGAGTAACTGTTGGGACGTAACATCTGATTTATAATTTGAAGTTAAAGTAATATGAACAAAAAAATAAATAATGTACAAAAGTATAGCCAAATAATCATTAAAAAAAAAACTATGAAAGAAACACAAATGTTCGAAATCACTTCATTATCGACATAAAGCTTTTGTTTCTTGTAGATTTACACAGGAGGAAGAGAAACCAAAAGTTTTACTCAACTATAGAAGTAAAAGTATGCTGTTAGAAAAGTATTGTGAAAAGTACACTTTCTTTAAAAAGTATGTAAATGTAATTGAGTACTTTCTACCTGTGAGTATTCAGTTTAATTTGTTGTGTAGCTGAATGTTTTCTGTCATATTTTAATTTTGTGATGTTAAGTTATAAATGTACCTCCTGCTGCTGAACGCGTCCGTACTTCAGAATAAACACAAGTGTCTTCCTGATTCCTTTTTTTCTTCACTGAGATTGACAGAAAAAAGAATATATTAAAATGACAGACTAGTTTCGCTTTACTTCTAAAAAAAAATCATCTAATTAAAACTCACATCTTGTATTCTTAAGTTCAATGTGGGAATAGGTGATCTCTGTACAATAAAAACAAAAAGTGGTTCATGTTTGATATCTTCTGTGCTTTGTGTTTTGTTTTTTATGGAAACAACATTGATTTTTTGGGTTACAAACTATAATTCAAAATCAAAATAAAGTTTATACTGACCCTCAGGAGTTAAAGTGTGTGTCACATGATCTCCAGCAGAGGTCTGATTGGCTGCACGGGACCTGCAAATTATAACTTTTTTAAATATAAAGGCTTAAAATGCAGATGACGGGTTAGACTGCTCCATCCCTTCATCCATTTTCTTCTGCTTATCCGGGGGGATCCTGAGTCGTTCCCAGGCCAGCCGAGAGACATAGTCCCTCCAGCGTGTCCTTGGTCTTCCTCAGTGCCTCCTCCCGGTGGGACATGCCTGGAACACCTCCCGAGGGAGGCACCCAGGAGGCATCCAGAGCAGATGCCCGAGCCATCCCAGCTGCTCTTCTTGACGTGGTGGAGCAGTGGTTCAACTCCGAGCTCCTCCTGTGTGACTGAGCTCCTCTCCCTCTCCTCCTCGTGGAGGAAACTCATTTTGGCCACTCGTATCTCATCCTTTTGGTCATTACCCAGAGCTCATGACCATAGGTGAGGGGAGAAACAAAGACTGACCGGTAAATCCGCATTACTGCAGATGCTGCACCGATTCACCTGTCAATCTCACGCTCTGTCCTCCCCTCACTTGTGAACAAGACGCCGAGATACTTGAACTCCTCCACTTGAGGTAAGGACTCTCCACCCACCAGGAGAGGGCAAGACACCTTTTTCCGATCGAGGTTGTTGTCCGACTGCTTGTTTTATTAAAATATAGTTAACATCTTGATTTTTTCAATAATTTCCCTTCCATGAGCAGCACAGATGACGTAGAGCCAGTGTTGGAAGTAACGCGTTATAAAAGTAACGGATTACAGTAATGCATTGCTTTTTGCTGTAACGCAGTAATGTAAGGCATTACAGGGGAAAAAATAGTAATATTTTACAAATGTGAGTAACGCGCGTTACAATGTTTTTTTTAACCTGGATTGAAGTGGTGGGTTTTTCTTCATACAAATTCGCTAAAATCACCGCGATATCAGCAGCGAGGAAAGGCCGGAGACGTGGCCGCGTAAACCTTCAGGTAACCGCGGGGAAAGGACTGACACAGAACTCTACGCTGTTTAGACCTGGGTCAGTTCTGGTTTAGACCTGGTTTACAGTCGTCCGAAGTGCTGTATGTTTGCAAGTTTTCTCCCCGACAAAACCCACAACGTCGACGAAACGTTCTGCACTGACAAAGGCTCCTGCGCTCACACCCAAAAGGCAGAGGAAGATGTAACCATCGCACAAAAAAGTGGACTTCTGGACACGCTGAAGGAAGGTAGAAGTTACGTGCTGTAGCAGAGTCTACACCGGGTCGGGTACCGCAAATAGTTGCTGAAATCAGGGCCGTGAGCCCGAGCAGCAGGGTCTTAAAGAGGGATCGGGTGACAGCCGCTCTTACCTCCGTGAGGTGCGGAGCAGAGCCGCTCCTTTCTCCTGCTGTCACCTTCGAGCCCATCCCGACAGTGAGTCCTGTTTTTAGTCCTAGTTCAGTTCTGGTTTAGTCCTTGGTTTTGTTCTGGTTTAGTTCTGTTTAGTCCTGTTTTAGTCCTAGTTCAGTCCTGGTTTAGTCCTCCTCTTCAGTCCTGGAATCAGTCCGAGGTTAGTCCTGTTATAGTCCTGGTTCAGTCCTGGTTCAGCTCTGGTTTAGTCCTGGTTTAGACCTGGTTTAGTCCTGGTTCAGTCCATATACGGCGCAAAAGTTCAGCATCTTCGCAGTTATTTTGGTGAGAGTAACTTAAAGTAATGCAATAGTAATGTAATGCCTTACATTTTAAATGCAGTAATATTGTAATGTAACAAATTACTTTGAAATGACAGTAATAAGTAATAAATAACACATTACGTTTTTAAAGTAACTTGCCCAACAGTGCGTAGAGCTAATTTCATAACTGTTTCTTAGTAACCATAATTAACAAAGGACAAATAACAAGGGTCTAAATTGTACAATAGTTTTCATAGGTAGAGGTATTCTGCTTTACAAGTCACTGATGTCTGTTTTTTTTTTTTTTTTTTTTTTTTTGTGTAGTTTTCTTTTAAACACAAACTGCCACTGTCATGTGCACTTTAAAAACAACATTCAGAATTGTGATAGAGGAATTGTACATCACTGACCTTTCAGAGCACTTATCTGAAAAAAGACAAATAAAGTCACATATTACATCTTTAAATAATATAATGTATATCAAAATAAAGGACTTATTACTCATACCTTTCTTGTTTCTGTAACACCATAGAAGCAGCAGCAGGATTAAAATTAAAATAAACACAAGAGCCACAACCAGCACGATCACAAGAACTGGAGCGCTCCCCTTCACTGACACTGACAAAAATATTGAACATTTATCAATCAACAATTATTTTATACAATACATTTATACACATTTTATCTACATTTTACTCACATGTGACAGACAGCCAACTGTCTGGAGAAGACAGGAGTTTTTTTGCAGAGTCATGAAGCTCACATTTGTATGAACCTTGATCAGACCTGGACACTGCAGAGATGTGGTATTGTCTGGAAGTTCCATTTTGGATTAATTGTCCATCTTTATAGAAATGGACAGAGGAGAAAGCAGCAGACTGTCCCAGTTTACAGGTGAGAGAGACGTCATGTCCCTCAGGCACAGGGAGCGCCGGGATCAACAGGATCACAGCATCTGTCGAGAACAAATCAAATCAAGCACAAATTCAATAGAAAGATAATCAATACTATCAAGAACAAAGATTCAGTCTCTCTGAAATTCTGACCAAGACCACCAACCAGCTCCACAGAGATTATTGACTTTAAAGTAGACATATTGTGCTTGTGTCTGCTACACAGCTATAATCTATGACACCTCTGGATCATTATGTAAGAACTTTAACATTTTAAATTTAAAATGACTTAATAAAAGAACAAAGTCCACTGACTTCCAGGTTGGAAAATTGCACAGTTCCTCCTATGGAGAGCTACAGAACACGCTGACAGCAGCTTTTATTTTTTTCATTTGTGCCAAAATGGCTACACAATGATTCTGAATCTACGTATATCACAGATTAAGAGACAAGAAACAAAGCAAGTACAGAGCAGTGGGTGTGTACCAGCTGAATTGAAAACAGGGATAGATTGGAGCTATGGCAGGAAAATTAAGATTACTCAAATATGAATCACATACAATTTTGGAAGGATAAATTATAAGGGGAAAAAACATAACATGGTTAAAAGTTCTATAAATTTGTTTTTGCCTAATAGGTATTCTTTAAAATTCCTTGCATAACCTCTAAACACTTTTGTGACCAAGTTTCCATAAGACTTTTTTTTTTATTTACCAACTCATGCATAATGGAGGCTGCACTAAATGTGTGACTCAACCCTGATCCTGCAGCATAGAGCTACAAGTAAATACTACAACCTGTCAGTACTGGTGTAGATCACCAACACACTCAATCTCAAATGACTAACAACACCAGCTTTGGTTATAATTGTCTACTGTTGCTCAGTACAACAGACTTCTGCAGGGTGTAGACCTACCATGAACAGTGATGTTGACTGCATCAGACATTTGTCCAGACCCAGACTCACACCAGAACACTGCTCTGGTCTCCTGAGGTGCAGAAAATTCACATGTGTGTTTGTGTTCTGTTGTGTTGGAGTGACACTGCTGTAAGGACAGTGTGGTCAGGGAAAACATCTGGACTGTCCACTCTTCATCTGACGAGTCGGGCCCACAGCTCACTGACACTGAGTCCATGATGAAGTGTTGTGAGCTGTTAGGAACAACATCTGGAGCCACTCTGGAACCACCATCTAACAGAACATGACCATCTTAAATGATTGAGTAAAGTCTAAAATAATCCAGAAGAATCAGAGACAGAAGTGCTACCTGCAGACCAGACAAAGCGCGGTGGACTGTATTCAGTGTAGAAGTGTCTCCCTCGTGCAGCTCGACACACAAAGCCTCTTGTGCTGCTCAGACCATGAACACTGAAGGAGGCATGTGCAGTCCCTGAGGTGTCACCAGTGAGCAGTTCATATGAGTACAGGCCTGATGGAAGAGGAACAGCCCGGTACCAGTAAAACCTCCATCCTGCAGAGGGCGCTGTGACGTCACACTTCAGAGAGACAGAGACACCCGGACTCAACCAGGAGGGAGACGCAGAGATGACAGGGACAGATTTATCTGCATGGTTACAGTAAAGTTAAACATATTACTCTTAAAGGAAAATCATGTACAGCTGTGGTATCTGACTATATTCTAATAAAATAAATAAATAAAATATAAAGATACATTTATCTTTCATAAACCCTAAAGTAAAATCTGTAAGACACACCAGAACAGATGCACTTACAGTCTGTCTCAGTCTCAGTTCACCTAAACTGTGGGTATTACACTTCTATGGGGTAACTCCTAACACATAACATTTCTACGACCATGTTTCCTTTTATTGTTTTGAATGGTAAATGGTCACATTTATATATAGTGTTTTTCCACCTAGGCTCTTAAGTGCTTTACATCATGAACCACTCACCTATTCATACATGCACTCACACACACACTAGGAGCAAGGTGGGTTAAGTGTCTTGCCCAAGGATACAAAGACAGCAATCATCTGTGGGAGCTGGAATCACACTGCCAACCTGTGTGGTCAGTGGATCTGACCGCTCAACCGATGTCTTTTTTTTTTTTTTTTTTATGTTGAGAGCAGGATTCGAATCAACAAACATCAAATCAGTGGACAAACGTTCTTACCAACTGAGCTTCTGTTGAAAATGTTCTGTTTACTGGAAAAACATGGTAACAACATGTAACAATAAGTTTGACTTCTGTTTTCTGACTCTCGATGTTCCCCTCCCATTGCATGGAGAGTAATGTTTAAATGAGCTCACATTATCCACAGAACACTGCAGCCACATTTACACAACCAGAAAATTCTAATAATTAAGAGATAATATAATAAGATTATTATTTATTATAATAAGAGATTATTTTGTGTGTGTATTTACATGCCAAAAGAAATGTATCATCAAAACCTCCTGATGACATGTGCCAGTTCATTTGTGGAGTCACTGACATAAGTGTTGTATTTTAAAGTCAGTGTATAATACATTTTAAAATAAGTCTTCATGTAAACATAGCCACAGTCATATTGGACTCACCGGTCACCTGCAGCTTGGTCACCTGGCTCCACTGTGTTTGCTCATATGCTCCTCTGGTCCCTCTGCAGCTGTAGTCTCCACTGTCAGACTCAGACACATTGGAGAGGACATATTCTCTGACTGTTGTAGGTAACATAACTCCTGTCCTATTCCATTCATAAGTCCACTCTGTGTTTCCTTCATCCTCCACCTCACACCTGAGAGACAGACTCTCTCCAACAAACACCTCTGTCCAGTCAGGCTCAGGCTGCACCACTGCTCTGTTTGACACTGTAAAGAACGACAACTGTATGTTTCATCATCAAACTGGAGCTATTATTAACACATGAAAAAGAAGACAGAGGTCAAAGGTCAAAAGTGTATTTTGTAATCTGTTGTAGTCGTGTCTTTGAAGGCTTTTTAGTCATGAGGCCTCGTGGAGCATCACTTAATTACAGTATTTAAAAGGAAGCATCATTTGGAGAACATATTGTTGGTGCTGAGATATACAGTGTAGGAATAATGCACTCACCAGTTTCCCAAATGGTGACAAAGTCACTTTCAGGTGTGAGAATCAGCTCTTCTTTTCCTCTGCAGGAGTACACACCTCCACGATGTACAGAGATAGTGGCTGTATCTTCATTTAAGATCTCAAAGTGAGAAGTATGAGCAGAAGTTCGTCTGATCCATTGATATTTCTGAATCCATTGTATCTGACATCTCAGCCTCACCCCACCACGCTCTGGGATGAAGAACCTGTCTGTGCTCAGATTAATACTTCTGCCTGTAGAAGGAAAATAAATAGACAAGGTTTTTGTAAAGTTAAGTGAGTATTTCACACTTTGTTGGTTCATCATAAAAACATTATTGAAAGATTCTTGACACTACAGACCTGTGTATATTGTAAGTCTTTGCCCTGTGTACAGTGTTTCTCCATCGATCCCACAGGAGTACCAGCCCTGGTCTGATTCTGAGGCTGAGAGGATTATCATCTCCACTGTTGTTTCAGATGTCCGGTTAAACTGATGGTTTGTGTCTGGTTTCACTATGACTCTATCTTTGTAGAAGTGCAGGTGTTTGTTGGAGGGTCCCACACACCGCAGAGTCACTGTGTCTCTGATTCTGGCCCCATGAAGGCATCTGCAGAGGTCGACCTGCAAATCCATTCAAATGTGTCCAGTTACTGTGATTATATCTGCCATGTCTCACTGTAAGAGTAATGTTAATTCAAAATAATATTACTACAGTAGAAGTGCAAAGTAGTGGTTCAAGAAAAAAACTAAAGGCTAAAAGTAAAAAGATATTTGGAAAAGAAATCTACTACTCACTAAGAGTAACTGTTGGGGTGTAACATATGATTTATAATTTGAAGTTACTGTAATCTGAATGACTAAACTTTAAATAATGTGCAAAATCTGGCATTTTTAAAGCACAGACACAAACTAAATGACAAACTAATATGTGATGAGTTGTGGTCCAAGAAATTACTTAACAAGGCTAAGCGAAAAAAAATGGAGAAAATACTACTTCACTAAGAGTAACTGTCGTAACATCTGATTTCTAATTTTAAGTTAATATAAACTTTAAATAATACGACATTTACTCAAGTAAGAGTACTGTTATAATAAAAAAATATCACTCAAGGAGCAGTAAAAGTATGCAGCTAGAAAAGTACTTTGATAAGTATAATTTAGTTTTAAAATATAGTAAATGTAACTGAGTACTACCCACCTCAGTGTGATGTTGTGTTTGGTTTTATGCTGTTCTGAGTTCTCTCTAATTCTGATCCTCGTGACCAAACAAAGTGTCCAGACCATACTACACTATTCCTAATGTAGCCCATTCTATTATTACCAACAACAACAAACTAATGAACAGTGTGTTTTTACTCACCAGTCTCCAAAATGTCGACTGCATTACTTTCTTTAGTGATGATCAACTTATCCTCCCCTCTGCAGGAGTACACTCCTCCACGAGTTACATGGATAATACTTGTGTGCACATTCAGTATTTCAAAGTCAGGGGCATTAAATGAAGAGCGTCTGAGCCACTGAGGGTTTGTAAATCCCTCTACAGAACATTCCAGAGTCACACTGCCCTGGACTGGAACAGTCGTGCTGGAAGCTCTTATCCAAATATAACGAAACCAACCTGCACAGAGACAAGTCATTCACACAACAGGAATCAACAGTTTATATTTTTATATGTTGTTTTATTGAATAATAAAAACAAACTCACAAAGTTTTACACTGTTGGTACTTACTTATAACCCGCAGTGTTGTCTGACCATATTTTGTCTTGTCATTTTTCACACATGTGTAACTTCCTTGATCTGTATCAGACACTGAGTTGATGTTCAGCTCCACTGTGGTGTGTGTCCTTGTGATCTGATGAGAGTGATCTTCTGTCACCATTCTGTCATCTTTGTAGAGGTTCATCTGTGTCATGTCTACAGTCGACCCCACACACCGCACAGTCACTGAGTCTCTGAGCCATGGATCGATGGATGGAGCTTCCACAGTCACACCTGTGCACAGACC